CGGCCCGGAGCCGCCACAGCGCGCCGCCGGGGCCCCGGGCCTCCCCTCCCCCCGAGACATGTGCCCGCACTGCGCGCACGCTGCACGGCGGCGCCACCGCGGCTCCTCCCCCTCCAGCGGCAGCTGCAGTCCCCCCCCCCCCCGCCCCCCCCCCCCCCCCCCGAGCCCCGCCCCCCCCCCCCCCCGGCCCTCCAGCCACATAATGGAGGCGCTGCCGCCGCCGTCACACACCAAGCAGAGGCCTCACGTCTAATCCGGGATTCCCCCCCACCCCCTCGCAGAGGCCCCCGCCCCCCCCCGGGGGCTCCCTCCCGCGGCGGGGCTCCCTCCTCCCCCAGCGGGGCTCCGGCAGGCCTGGGCACGGTCCCCACCCCGCGCGGGCCTCCCGCCGCGCGCAACCAACCACGCAGCACTCACCCGCCGCCGGAGCCCCGGGGCGACCGCCGCCTCCGCCGCCTTCCGCCTTCTTCTTACCTCCCGCCTGCTGCTGGCCCTGCCTCGCCCCGGGCGGCGCCACCGTCACCGCGAACAGCGACGTGGGGCCGCTGCTCTTCCCCGCGGCCTCCTTGGCGGCCCCGCGCTGCTGCTGGGGCTGTTGCTGCGGCGCCGCCGGCGGTTGAGGCTGCTGCTCCCCGTGCCCGTTCTCGTCGCCCGCGGCTTCCTCCTCGTCTCCGAGCTCATCCTCCCCTTCCTGGAAGCCCTGGTCGTCGCCGTTCTCGTCCTCCGAGGCGGCTTCCTCCTCCTCCATCGGGCCCGAGTCGGCCGCCCCCGCGGCGCCGTTCTCCTCCCCGAGCTCCATCTGGTCGCCATCCAGGGCGGCTATCCCTTCCTCCTCCTCCTCCTCTTCCTCCTCGTCGTCATCACCGCCTGCCGCGGCCTCCTGCTCGAGGCCTGCTCCCGAGCGCCCGGCGGAATCCCCGCCCAGGTCTAGGCTGCCGTTCCCGGGCTCCATGGCGGGGCGGCCCCCGGCCTCCTCGTCGTCCAGCGCGGCCTGGAGACGCTCCATGAGCTCGGCCTTGAGGCCCTTGTCGGACAGGCGCCGCTTCTTGAGCTCCTCCTTCAGCTCCGACACCTTCAGCTTTTTCACATTAACAGGCGAGGAACTCATGGTGAGGCCCCGATTCACCGCTAGGCGCTGGCTCAAACTCGGCTCCGCTCACTCGGCCACTGGCGGCGGCTGAGGCTGCTCCTCGGCCCAGGCGGCGGCTGCGGCTGCGGCTGGAGCTGGGTCCCTGCTGCAGAGCGGATCCGCCTGGTGTCGAACGGCGCCAATTCCTTTCACCGAGTTCGCGAGGGAGACGCGGAGACTCGCCTGGCGCGAGCGAGCACGCAACGTCCTCTCGCAGGGGCGGCGCCGCGCACGTAATATAGCCGCCCCGCCCCTGCGCCGGCTGAGCGCCCGCGCTCGCCCCGCCCCTCCCACGCCTGTTCCCCCCGCTCCCACCCGAGCCGCGGGCCGGGAGCGCGGCGACGCGCACTGCGCTTGCAACTGGGGCCGAGCTAATGGAGGAGGAGGAGGAAACCTCCTTCAGTTAAACCGACCCACTGCAACATTTATTGGCCTTTCCAGCTCTTTGGTGGCAGTACTCGTTTGCTATTTGCCTTCCAGCCCGGAGGCTGCTTCTACCCAAATACTTTCGGTCCTCAACTTGGCATTTTCAACTCGAATCCGCCACCTTTTCTTCCATTTTAGATTTGTCTTATCTATTTCTCCAGCTATTTGTTTAGAACGCCCTAAAATTTTATTTCAGTTTTGATTTGTACAACGCAAGTTGGCAATTACTCTACACAGGGGATTTTCTTCCGTTTAATATTTGGTTTAATTTTCCTAAGTCCTGCCTTGCGAATTGAATTTTAAACTCGGGAAGGGCCTTCCTTTTGTCTCTCCCATGACCCCTGATGCAGGGTTTGGGAGATAAAAATGCTTGCTTTTGGAATATGCATACTGCAAAGCATATACTTTACAGGCCTTGTCATGGCACCCCTAGCCAAAGAAGTCTTGTAAGCCTCAGAATTGCAATTCTGTGTTTTCTTTACCTACCAGAAAGACGGATCACCTTTAAGATTTATTCTGTCCAGTTTAGGACCTGGTCATCCAGTTATGAAGTCCCCGTAGTTAATAATGAGGATGAGACCCAGCTAGGTCACACACTTTGATTCTATTACTTTTCCAATAGGAATACTTCAGGCCAAATTATGCTGAAACCCTCATAAAAGCTCATGAAAAATAAAGGGCTGTGATTTTGTAAAAAGAAAACTATCACTCTCGAAAGAAATGTTATTTTGGTGTGTCTTAGAAGTTTAATTTTTCTCTTACTAAGTAAGAGGTGTGTTATGTTCTTCAAGTTTTAGGTAGGAGTGCCAGAACTTAAATATGTGATAGAGGTGAACGTCTTAAACCCCAGAGAATCTGCACAGTGCTTTGCCAATGTTCCAGTCTAGTCTATCTCTGACTAAGGAGGTCAGCTATACCCACTGTTTGGTGCTTTAGCTGTCACAATAATGCTGCCCCAATTTTAATTAGAACTTCGGAAAAATAAGCATGTGAACTTTCTCCCATAGACTAGTATGATTTAACTGATTAATAAATTTTATTTTTAAAGTTCTTTTCAATAGCTTTTAAAAATCATGTATTTTACCAGGCAGTCATATATAAAGATGAAAGTTTAACATTTGTGAAATGATTTGAGTTGAAATTAATGAATTATGTATGGTACTAGTAATTCTCAGTTCAAGTTAATGAAGGTGGAAGGGATAGCACCCAAAATAGGAACTTCCGAATGGTGCCAAAAACTCATTTTAGCCCTTGGTTGTAATGTCCTTGGAGCTTATAAACAGGTGACAAACTGGAATTTGAGCTTTTCAAATTCTTTGCCCTTGTTCAAAATAGGAAGAGAACTACAGGGGGCTTAAATGTTCACAAGCTGGATAATTAGTCCCCTAATGAATCAGAGTTAAATATAGTTATTATGCTGGTCATTTAAGTTTATGTGCCCTTAGATATGATTTACAATTTTAAGTATTAGTGATATGAAAACAATTTCTATTTAACTGGAAAAAGCCTATGAAAAATGTATATCTAAATACCGATTTATAACAATTGTTCTTAAATCAGTTGTAATAATAAACATGAAATATAACTTTAGATGGGCATGAGAAAATTCCATGGCTTTGCCTCCAAGACCTTTGTAACCTGGAGATCATCTTCAGTCTGCTCATTTTATGGCCCAGGAAGCTGAGGTCCTCCCCCCACCCCAGGGTTCTTTCATTACACTGGGCCTTCTTAGACAACATTTAACTGAGAAACAGTTTTTGTAAATACTCAAACAGCCATCATCTTAACTGTTTGGCCTTTTTACAAACAGGTGAAATCTACCATTTAACATTTTATTTTACCACTTGAAAGTACAAATAGTGACTTCATTTTAATAATTGTTTTTTCTTCTTATACTTTTAATGCTGTTATGATAGTCCTGTTCTACGGAGACCAGTAAAAGTACAGATCACTCTCTCTAAATTGCTGAGGAACCTATAAGGAACTTGAAATCCCCCCTTTTTGAAATCCTGGGGACTACCAAGAATACAGAGTGGAAAAGGGGGAAAATTAATTCTCAATAGCAAAAAATGATTAGTGAATTACCCATGGGTAATAGACCTATGACAGGGCATTAGAGAGTTAGGGTGCTCAGAATATATAGCTCACATTTTGAGGTTGAAGCAAAGGCACATACCTGAATCTGTAGTTTGTCACAATAATTCACTCAGCAAATATTTTTTAGCACCTCTAAGACAAGCGCTAGGAATACAGCAGTGAACTATGTAATTATGCCTTCATTCTCATAGAGTTAGCCAATAAATAAAATAGAGACGGTAACAAGTACTGCAGGGCAATGTAAAACAGGAGAGGGGCAGGGTGTGCTGCAGTCATGGGAGATTTTCAGTTATAAATGGGGTGGTCAGGGAAGCCTAAGAAGTAAGGTAACATTTGAGGTGGAGGGAACAAAAAGTAGGCCTGAGGGGAAAGATAGGCAGGGAGATCGGGCAGGTTAGGGAGAGGAGGGGAGATACAGATTGCCAGCAGCCTTGCCAGTGTTTTTTTAAGGACTTTGGCTTTTGCCTCCAGTGAGAAGGAAGAAACTGAAGGGTTGTTAGCAGTGAAGTGACATGAACTGACAAGAATGCTAAATTCAATGGACTCAAGATGGTATTCCATCGGTTCATTATTTTCTGGTATACACAATCAATCCCAATTTAATAAAGGAAGCATGAAACACGCTGAGATACATTTTCCCATCTTCTTACGAAAATATGAGAAGTCACGAGTACCTCCAAATTATTAAGTATTAAAAGTACACTTTCATATAGACTAACAGGAAAGCACAATCAGACGGGAGGATGTTTCAAATTCTGGTTAAAAGTACAAGGTTAAAAATCAGACAGACCTGGGTTGCAGTCCCAGCTAGACCACATAGTGGCTGTGTGATCTTGCACAATCTATTTATCTCTCTATACCTGAGAGCACTCATGTCTAAAATGATACCTGCCTCATGAGGTTGTTGGGAAAATTCAGCGAGATAATGTGAACTCTGAGTACAGGGCTGGAAGCACAGTAAGAGCTCAGTATATATTAGTCTTCATTAGCTATGTCGAGCAATTTAATGAACTTAAGAAAATCTAGAGTTGGATTGTTAAATCTTATTTAGGAAATTATAACTATATATACTTTGTAAATTGTCAATGAATTGTTCATGGTGAGATGAAGTCTGGATAGGAGAGTGCAGGCTTCACTCCTAGGCCTGGCACTGTCACTGTAGCCAGCTGTGTGACCTTTGGCAAATTGCACCATCTCTGGATGTTCGTTTTCTCATTTATAAATGAAGCAGAGCAGACTAGAAGATTTGTAGAGCCTCTCCAGGGAGAACCTTCTATGAGTTTCCTCTTTGCTGACTCCAGACTGTCAGTGGAGGAGCACTGTTGAACTTTGAAATATTGGCTATTCATATTCAGGTTTTTACTTGTTACATTCAAAACTTTGCATTAGAGTCTCTAAGCATTTTATAATTAAGTAGTAGACATGAAATTTGAACTAGTGTATTACAGTTTTTGAATTTTAAATGGTACAAAATACTCCCATTTACTTTTGACTTGGATACCACAACAGGCTAAAAGGTTTAAAGTGAATGGTTTCTCCAAAAGCACACCAGAGTCCCAATGCCATGGCTTGCTGTGCTTCCCGTTACTGCCGCAGTGTCCACACCGGCCCTGCCACCACCACCTGCTCATCTGAAAAATGCTGCCGATGTGGAGTCTGCCTGCCCAGCATCTGCCCACACACGGTTTAGTTACCGGAGCCAACCTGCTATGACAGCTGTCCCCCACCGTGCCGCATTCCTCGGCCCTGTGTGCCCGCCTGCTTCGTGCTCAACTCATCCCAGCCTACCCTAGGCCTGGAGACCCTCAGCCTCACAACCTTCACTCAGCCCTGCTGTGAGCTCTGCATCCCAAGCTGCCGCTGACGGATGACTGCCTCGCTCAGTGCCTGGAGATAACACTGAAGCTATCTATTCAGCATTCACTTGCCTCAGTAGTTTATCAGACATTGAGGCAGACCAGATGGCCTAGATATGCACAACCTACCTTTCATCTTAGTGGAAAGAAAATCAAGAAATTTTAATGGTTATTTGGCTAACCATTTGGTTCATTTGGGCAGGTGAATGTCATCTATTATCAAAAGTATTGATATCTATAAGACCTCAGACTGTTTGTTTGTTTGTCTGTTTTTTCTGTCTGCACAGCTTGTGGGATTTTAGTTTCCCGACCAGGGATAGAACCCAGGCCCTCAGCAGTGAGAGGGTAAAGTCATAACCACTGGACCTCCAGGGAATTCCCCAGACCGTATTTTGTTAGTCATGTTGCTTCCTAGATCCCATTCCTTATATTGAGTATTTTCATAGAGGAAAAATAATTTCTTGATGGGTTTTCCAATAAACTTTATTTCTGTGGCAATAAATAAAGTAAATGGTTACTGTTTGAATCATCTCGTCTTTGATGTTATGAATCTCTGTCTTCACATAAATTATATAGCTTCTGTAGAATAAGATGTGCCCATTAGAAAGCTGCAGGAAAACTAGAATAATGTAGTTAATAGTAAGATATCAGGGCTTTTCTGATAACTAAAATATTTACCAGGTTAAGACTAATTAACACTTACCAAAACTTATACCGAGGCAGGTTGAGCAATGAGGAGTTTATAGAAAGTGCACACTGTTACACGCTACTGGTGACTGGCCAGTATCACAGTACCTAATAAGAAAAGGTGAAGAAAATATTTAGACCATCCTGAGCCTAACAGCCAAGAATGAGATGAAAGACTAAAGGGATTATTATCTCATAAACTCTCACCTTCTACTTGCGACATAATTATCTGTCTCGAAGTTAGTCTAAGTTCCTTGAGGGCAAGGAGAGGAACTTGACTTTTCCAGCACCTGCGCCGTGTCTTCCATCAACACCAAGAGGGAATTCCCTGGCGGTCCGGTAGTTAGGACTCCACGCTCTCACTGCCAAGGGCCCGGGTTCAATCCCTGGTCAGGGAACTAAGATCCCACAAGCCTGCAAGCTGTGCAGTGCAGCCAAAAAACAAACAAACAAACAATCCCAAAACATTCACCGAGAGCCTGGCACTGCACTGGGGAACAAGATGGGGGCTCCGAAATGAAAATATCCTCTAAAAATGTGTGAACTATACTGCAACCCTGACTTGAACTAAAGGATTCTTGATTGTAAGAGAGAGTTATCAAAAAATCAAGCAGAGGCTGTAATAATAAAGTTTATTCAGCAGAGTCTTCTTGGCATAACACCAGCAAAATAACTAAATAAATAACAAGTAAATTTCTTTGCAAGCTCGGCTTTCCACTTGGCTATTATTATTGTGGACACCATCAGTGAACACCACCAAGTTTCGTCAGTGATCCTAAACTAAACTCTTAGAACTACTGAACAGATTTTTTATGGCCCATAGATTTAATTACATGTCCAAGTCCTCCCCTCTACATTTATAGTGTGCTGTACAATTGCTTCCATCTAGTGAAGCAGGATTGTGTTAAAAACGGATTTCATACTCATGTTTAGAGGAGCCAGGCCCAAGGCTGTGTAGTCTATTTCTCTATTTTAATGCTCCATCTTTCCTTATCCATTTCCTTGTTAGACAGTAACAACACAAAGGTAGGGACTTCATATTCTCCATAACTCCAGCGATATTGCCAAGCACCAGATGCTCAACAAATATTTTTTTACTTTATTTAGAAGGTGATATTAGACTATTAAGAAAGTCTTCCAACTCCAGATATAAGTACCATGCAAAAGTATCATCCAGAATCCATCAGTTGACTATGATCTGGAAAAGCACATAAAGATGACACATAGGAGATTATTTACCAGCGTTAACCAATACAGTTGCCACAGGTAGCTATTTAAATTAAAATTAGTTAAAATTAAATAAAATTAAAAATTCAATCCCTCAGTCACATAACCACATTCCAAATGTTTCATAGCCATTGGTCTTATACTGGACAATGCAGAATAGAATGTTTCCATCATCACAGAAAGTTCTCTGGGACACTGCTGTTATAGACTGCTTTGAAAGTACAACTTACACCAAGGGACCAGCCCTGGTCTCTATGTGGCTCAACAGCCAGACTATATGGAAAGGAGCTTGCAGTTTGGACATAAATACAAGCTATAACCAGGATGCTATGGGACACTGGTACAGCTACATGGGGATCCAGCCATGTTGACCATTCGCTGAGCCACTGTCTATAGGGTTCCCATGGTATAGGTCTGTACACATGCTTGCCCACCCACAAACATTCACACATGCGAAAACAAAACAAAACCTCACATACACCTTCAGGAAGTCAGTTGTATGACATTTGCAAGTAAGCAGTAATTAGCTAAGATTATCTTATATCATATTCATTATTCTATATACAAAGCTGCCTATCATTTGCAGACCTCTGCCAGATGATAATTAAATGTCTTCCATTAAAAGCTGTCAAGATGGGACTTCCCTGGTGGTCCAGTGGTAAAGAATCCTCCTTACAATGCAGGCGGCGCAGGTTCGATCCCTGGTCAGGGAACTAGGATCCCATATGCCGCAGAGCAAATAAGCCCAGGCGCCACAACTACTGAGCTTGCGCACCTCAGCTAAAGAGCCCTAGTGCTGCAGACTACAGAGCCCATGGACCCTGGATCCTGAGTGCCACAACTAGAGAAGAGCCCGTGGGCCTCAACGAAGATCCCACGTGCTGCAACTAAGACCCTGTGCAGCCAAAAATAAATAAAATAAATAAATAAATGATAAATAAATCTTTTTTTTTAAAAAGCTGTCAAGAAAATAAGTCCTGGGTATGTAATATATAGCATGGTGACTATAGTTAATAATACTGTATTATATATTTGAAAGTTGCTAAGAGAGTAGATCTTAAAAGTTCTCATGACAAGAAAAAAGTTTTTTTTTAACTATGCATGGTGATGGATGTTAGCTAGACCTATTGTGGTGATAATTTTGCATACAAATATCAAATATATAAACTGATATCGAATCATTATCATTATGCTGTACATCTGAAACTAAGATAATGTTATATGTCAGTTATATCTCAATTTTTTTAAAAGCTGTCAGGTGTTTAGGGGAAAAAATCAAACTAAAAGCACCTTCTGCACTGTCTTAATTGCCTAGATACTATGTGTATACTCTGTGTCTATATAACCTTTCCTTCTTTTCACTGCTTTCACTTTGGTCCACCCAAGCACACTTTATTTTTTTTAATTTATTTAATGCATTTATTTATTTTTGGCTGCACTGGGTCTTTGTTGCTGTGCATGGGCTTCCTCTAGTTGTGGCGAGCGGGGGCTACTCTTTGTTGCGGTGCACGGGCTTCTCATTGCAGCGCCTTCTCTTGCTGCAGAACACGGGCTATAGGCGCGCAAGCTTCAGGAGTTGTGGCACATGGGCTCAGTAGTTGTGTCTCACGGGCTCAGTAGTTGTAGTGCACGGGCTTAGTTGCTCCGCAGGATGTGGGATCTTCCTGGACTAGGGCTCGAACCTGTGGCCCTTGCATTGGCAGGAAGATTCTTAACTACTGTGCCACCAGGGAAGCCCCCAAGCACACTTTATTTGGGCTGTCTTTTAAGTCTGCTGTATTTTGTCCTGATTCATTTATTTGTGATAGCAACTGCCAGTTATTGAGTGCCTGCTACGTACCAGCCACTGTGCTAGGCATTTTATACAAAATATCTCTAATCCTCATAATAATCTCATAAAGTGGGAATTATTAGTCTCAATTTATAGATATGGAAACTGAGAAACAGAGGGATTAAGGAACTTGTCAAGTTTAGTAAGTGGTAAAGCTGAGATATCAATTCAGGGCTGCCTGACTTCCATGCCCAGACCCTTTCCTACACCAGCGATAGAGTTTCAAAGTCAGAACTGACATGTTCTAATTCCAGCAAGATTTCATAGTGTATAGTATAGGAGAAAGAGACAGCCAACGGTTATATTACAGGAGTAGTATATTATGAGAGTGCTACGATAGTGGTGTGTATTCAGTTCGGGAAATGGGTTAGGGGGCTTCTTGTGGGAAAAGGCACTTGAAAAGGTTGACTCTTCAAAATTGAGGAGGTTGAGAGAGAAAGAAGGACATTCCAGGCTGTAGGAACAGCCTCTGCAAATGCACAGAGGTGAGAATCATTGCTATAGCTAGAATTCATTATGGCTGGAGTATCAAGTTTGGGGGAAGCGGGCATGAGCAAGGGTAGGGGTAAATGTAGGGAAGGGTTATAGGGAACAAAGAGGCAGATTGAAAAGAACCCAGCCAAGCTAGAAGTTGTAGCTTCATCTACTGATAAAGAGGTGGGGAGTGAGGGCACTAAAAAATTTTAATATGAGAAGTGGCATGATCGGGTCCAAATTTTAGAAAGATGGTGTAAGGCAGAAGAGTATGGAAAACTCACATGCCTACAGGTTCTAGGCAGGATATATAAATGAATGAAGAGATCCAGGTGTAAGAAAAACTGCAGTCGTGATGAGATACGTAAGTGTCACTTGGTCTCAGGTCAGGGGCACCTTGGGAGTGATGAAGATTTCAGAGAACTAGAGCGAAGGACCCTATTTAAAGGGTCCCTATGACTCTATGACCATGTGGGAACAGGACTCAGGATTGCCGGGTTTCCCATTTTTAAGAGACATGGGAAATCTTCATTTTTCTATGACATCCCCTGAATTTTGGAGGTGGCCAACACTATGCAGGCCAAAAAAAACTATGTCTTCGTCCATCTGTTTGTAAGACCTGGCTAGAGAGTCTTGAAGCGAGCGTGGAAGACCAGGTAGGAGGTTATTTCAAGTGAGAAGGGATGAAGTTTGCTCTGACAAGGTCAAATGGGTTTGTATAGTCTTGAGAAGGGTAAAGGATCTGTGAAGAAAGATCACTTAAGATTCTGAGGGTTTTTTTAAATGACAGGGATGTTTATTTGGACTCTGACATGACCATGCAGTCTTGGTAAATATAACTATTGGGTTAATTTTCTAAACAGTGCTGACATTAAAATGGAGATGGAATATTTTGTGGGAGGAGGCACAGTCTTTACTAAGGGGGAGAAGTTGTGCAATGCCTAGCTTTGGGGGATTTTGGGACAAGTATACATA